GGGCTGGGGTGCGGGGGGGAGCACGTCCCGCCACGTCTCCTTGTGCCGCAAGGGTCAACTCCCAAGTCCGGAGCAGCATCAGCAAGTGGCCTTTCAAAAGTCGTTAGCTCTTCCTTCACTGAGTCAACCTGCTCGGTCTTTAAAATGACAACCTTGGCATGTCTCTGACATGACCTGCTTCAGCTGACCAGCCAGCCTGTTGCTCCTTGGTGTCCCCGAAGAAGGGAGCGTGATGGAAAAGCTTGGGAAAGACAACAACCAGCCTCAGAAGACTCATCGGCTGGGTCAAGCGTACAAAAACATCCTCTTACGCGGGTGATGGGGAGGCCAAGGAATATAGAGGCGATAACCCCACCGGCTGCGTCCTGTCACTTTCCTGTCACTGCAGGGAGGGATTTAAGGGCAAATAAGAGAGTGGGTGAATGAACTAACAGTTGCTGAGCCTGAAGTTACGAGCACTTTCTGTATGCTTTCCCTGCGAGGAGCCTTTCAGAGTAAGCGGGGTTCCAAAGGACGCCTGGGCTCTATGGGATCGATTAATGTAACTAGCAGTGGCAGAATTTGTCTCCCTGTTGCTGACACGCCAATTTCAGTGAAAGCAGAGTAAGTCCCCACTGTGTTTGCGCAGAGGATATTAAGGTACATAATTGCTGTCGGCTAGTTTATTTATTGCTGAACTGAGCTGCATGAACGATGCTGCAGAAGGTACGTGCAAGCTGCCCACCGAGAGTGAGCCATTGGCCTTGAAGTCCCATCTGCAGCACTGTCTTTACGCACTCCAGTCTGTGACTGGAACGTAGTTTTTCTTTTTAAATTCCAGGTGCTCAGAACATAATTAAATACCAGCTTCCAGACTCTAGAAACTTTCCTAGAGTGTATGCTTTTTACAGGGTAACCGGCAATTTATTTACTTCAGTGTGGTTCCTGGTTTTCCTATCTGGTAGTGTGTGCACAGGTCATTGGAGAGTAACACTATTGTTCACGCAGCCAAGTGGCTGAGCTGAGTTTAATGCCTCTGATCCTTCAGTTTAAATCAGCAGCTACCTGCATCTTGAACTTGAAGACAGCAGGTCTCCTGCTTCTGTGCCAACAAGCTTTTAAAAAAGTAAAACAACTCAGCAAACTGATCGCGGGTTGTGCTTTCCTGATAAAGCTGATGTTCGTTTTCTTCTCTCCTCTGCAACTGGGAAGTGTTGTTAAGAGGGAAGGAAGACCCTGGGGCTGCAGGGTGGGATTTGGGGTGGTGAAGGGCGGTAGAACTCATACGTGGGCTGGACCGTGAAACAGCGTTTCCCACCTGTCAGTAGATACGCTACTGCATCTTGAGTTCGTGTGGCATTTAGTTCCCGCACCACAGGACCCTAGAGCTGCTGGTGGTGTTGCTTGGTTGTCAGCTTTAAAACCAAACCAAGGAATGCAGTCTCCCTGGCCTTCAGCGAAAGTAATTCTGTTCAGGACTGGAGTCTTGAGCAGAAGCCACCTGTGTGTTCTTATTTTCAAGACTAAAAACAGTAGGAGAGAATCTGGGGGTGGGGGGTCTACATTTTGTCCTGGAGTTGTTGATTCTCAGAGACCGCTCTGAGAGGTCCTGAGACGTACCAGTCTGTGTGAGGACTAACCTCACCGGTATCGTTTTGTATGGTTAGAGTGGTTGAAAGGGTCTGTTCTGCTTTTCTTTCTACTTTACTTATTTCTAATGATTCTTTAAACCACACTGCCTGCCACCTGTATAATTTTCTCTATTGTCTAGTATTCATCAAGAAAGAAAATGCTGACAAGTTCCTGGAAAGAACAAAACGTGCTAACTCCTTTCTGGAGGAACTGAAGAAAGGGAATATCGAAAGAGAATGCAATGAGGAGCGCTGCTCGAAAGAAGAAGCAAGAGAAGCCTTTGAAGACCAGGAGAAAACGGTAAGGAAGAAATAATATGAAACATAGATCTATGTATTTCATGTTTACAGAATTATATTAAGGCCTTTAAATGATTAGATAGTACCCGTGTTAGAAATATATTCGTGGGCGACGCAGCTGAGTGTCATGACTGTGGTCAAGAGTTTGTAGGTGGAAGAGCCCACAGGAAGGCTGAGAAAGAAAATGCTGACATGGAACTTCACATGAGAATTTTGCTGAACTCCTCTAGGGCAGCCTTGCAGTGCTTATCATTTTGTGGCTCTCCTTTTCAGTATCTGAATTGACAGACTGTATCCTGTGGACAGTTCTTATTATGCCTTAATGCTAAATTGCCCACATGGAATGAAGTTTGGATGTGTGACTCTAGTGTCAGCTTCCCTACCCTGATGGCTGCTTAACTTCAGACAGAAATGATCTGTTCCCAAGCTCAAGGGAAAGTTAAAGAGATGGGGCAGCTATGGAGAATGGGGTGAGTAGAAAAGGTGATATTTGAAAACTTGAAGTGACTTGGTGGTGGAGGAGAATTGGGAACATCATCTGTAGGTACGTGCCTGTCGAGAACAGCTCCGAAACTGGAGTTAAGGCCAGATTCATTTCACTTTAGCATTACTTGCTGGCCAGAATGTGCTTGGAGTAGCCCTGAGATGACTTGTCTGGGGAAATGACGGGTGCATGGCCGGGTACTTCAGAGCATAAAGGTTGGCTGGTCTGTAGCAGAACCAGTACAGCCTGTTCTGCCCTGGGGACCAGACATCACTGAAAAGGACTGTCTTGGACAGCCGGCATACCTGTAGCCCTCAGTGCAGAGGGAAAGAAGGACACAACTTGGACAAAATATTTTTAAACCTCTGGATTTCTGAGGTCCTGACTCATGGGGCTACGGAGAGGAGGAGAGGGACTGAGAATTTGTCATTGCAGGAATGTGACTAAATTCGGTCAAAACTGATGGAAAGACAGTTATGCAACAAATCAAGCGCCTTATGCTGACTGAGTCACATTAGGAAATCTGTAAGGAGTTTTAGGTATTTCTGAAAAAGGGCATGAGACTTGTTGCTGTAAGGCTGGACACTGTAAATGGATCATATGGTTTTAATTTATTCAATGGCAGTAGCGGGCTGCGAGGCACCGTATGTGCCTGTAGCTCAAGTATTAGTTTCAACAGTTGTTAGCTGCAAGGTTCCTCTGTGTGAAAGCACCGATGTTTTTCTTGAAGAATTCAGCAATCCTTACCTAACTCTTTTTGTCTCCTTTTATTCCCCTTTTTCCCACACCTACCCTGTAGGAGGAATTCTGGAACATCTATGTAGGTAAGAAACACTCTGCGTTTGTTTAGAGAACTAAGCTTCCTTATTGCAAGGTTGAAAAGGACGCACCTCTTAAGTAACCACTTCCTGCTCCCTTGCTTCCTCTCCTCACTGTGGGACACCCTCACTTGTGTTTCCTCTGAAGAAGGAATCTGATTTACTGCCTTGCCGTTGCTTGAACCCAGTCACTTCATTCGAAGGCAAGGTTCAGCTGCCTCCAGTTCCTGGGGTGATCTCTGTCCTCTCAAAACCAAAACCAGTGGCCCTTTGCACGCCAAGGACAGCGAGAACCAGAAACTGGGCGTGTGACTCTGCTGGGCAGTTGTTCTCCAGAGGGGCAGCCCCGGATGGGGGAATTCCACATGCAGAGAGTCACAGGTGCGGGTGGCGCTTAAATGCCGCAGCCAACACAGAGTTATTAAGCTGTCTCACACAGTCGCTTGCCAGTTTCATGTCACCTTCCACGCCAAAGTGTTGTTAATTCCTGTAATATGGAGCATTTTGTGGGATGTGTTTTCTGCAGAACTCTGGCATTCAAGGAAGACATGCCAGTAGATGAGCAGATACTACCCATCAGCCTTCTCTGTTCTTCCTAAAGGCCTGGGTTGTATTTATTAGGGTTCTAGTGTACGTAATCACTATGCAGGGACAGATTTTTAATGTAGTAGTCTTTGGTAACGGGTTCTCCCAGAAGTATGTGTCCAGCTCGCGTGTTAGGAGGAGTACCTCCAAAATGTTGACCAAAGACAGCTCAGCTTTGTCTTTTGGAGTCTGCAGAAAATCGAAGACAGTTGCCGCAAAGAAGATGCAAACTTTCACAATCCTCTAAGCAGGGGATGAGTTCTGCAACCTCCAGGCTGAAGTTTCCTGCGTCAGTGTGTTGCAGTGAGCGGGAGTGGAAAATTGCAAACCATTTTCTCAAGGGAATACAAACAGCGGAACATCAGTGCCAGTGCTTTTAGCGGAAATGCCAATTTCATACATTTTAAACCACAGTCCACGAATGCTTTATTGGTGTTCACAAGTATTGAAAACCACAGATCCCCTCAGCCAAGTTACTAGAACAATTCATTCTCTCTTCCTCATTCAGCAGGGGATTCTGCAATCCTTTTGTGCAATATTGATATAGAACTTACTACCGCAGCAGCGACGACAGTGTAGGGGGAAACTAAACGGGTATGGTTCCCAACAGTAGGATGCTGCCTAGCAAAGACCACTAGAGAATGGAGCGCTCTGGCACTGCAGAGGAGGCAGAAACCAGGAGCTGTGCTGCAGGCCTCAAGTCTGCCTTCCTTTCAGTGGTCTCACCTTCCCTCTCTTGAGGACGGGCATCAGTCTTCAGTGCCTCGGTGGGGGACCACATGGACGCGGCATTTGGAGCACTGCTGGTTTTGGCCATGTGCAGGTACAGACAGGGCGTTGAGGTGCGAGGGTGGTACGCAAAGCCCAGCAGACATACCCTGTGCCTGATAAAGCTGCTGCAGTTGAGGTCACAGGCCAGGGCTGCCATGCAGGGGGCAAGCTGGATCCTTAGGATGAGCAGCTTCTTGCATCTTGTCTCTCTGTGGGCATTGCTGTTCTTCCAGCTGCTCCAGACAGGGGCAGGCCAGGTGGTGAAACACAGAAACTTGAAGAACCTGTTGTCTGAAGCAACAAATTATTAAGCAAGGTTCAGTCCTCCGGACATCCTCCTCTTCTTATCGAACAGTGCAGAAGAGCTCAGCAGGGCCATGTGATGGGGGAACATGCTTGGTACAGCAGGTCACTAGATGGGAGAGACCAGTGAGCATCAGAGCAGGAGTGAGACGCTTGGTACAGCAGGTTACTAGATGGGAGAGACCGTAGCAGTGAGCATCAGAGCAGGAGTGAGATACCTTTGCGGGGCGGGGAGAAAGGGCTGCTACATGGAACATAGCTCCAAACACAGTGCAGCCTCACTGTCCTACATGTAAATGAGTTTGGGAGACACCTGTGGCTGGGGCCCAGTTGGTTCCAGGTCATGGAAAGGAAGGAAGGCTGCAGAACTCCCTTTCAAATGTGGGAGATCCCAGCATAGACATGGGGAGTGTGAGGTAAGAGCTTATTTTTTGAAGCTCAAGCTTATTCCTCAATGGACACAATGGGACAATTTTGGTACTGTAAGCAGCAGAAAACAGGAATTTGGCCCACACACGTGAATTTAGCAGGGCTTTGTGAAGCATTTTTTTGTTGATCTTCTGATTAATATGTTGGTATCTGTTTCTTTAAATGAACAGCACTGCAGGCAGGCACAAGGGATGAGATGACCTTTAAAGAAACAAAAGTTAAATTGTCATTGTTATGCGGAAATTGTAAAAAAAAAATAATATTTTTAGACAGTAGTTGCAACGTAGAAATGTCCTGTCTGCTTTTACAGCCTTCACTGTAGTTGATTTATATTCTGACCATGATGTATTACTTTACCTTCCTGCAACCAAAAAAGGCTTGCAGATGCGCTGTCATACAGTAGCCACCAAAACCAGATTGCAAAACTGAGGATGTGTATATGAATCATTGCTGGTTTGGAACAACCAAACCATCTGCCAATTCCATCTGGAATGTGGCAACTCGCAGGATGTAATGTTTTAAAAGGAAAGGTGGAAGATCGCTTATTAAAACTAACAATAATATGGTTTTTGGTTTGTTTTTGTAGATGGGAACCAGTGCAGCTCAAATCCTTGTCACTATGGTGGACATTGTAAAGATGGAATTGGTTCCTACACTTGCTCATGCTTGGATGGTTATCAAGGCAAGAACTGTGAATTTGGTAGGTTTCTGCTTTACAGAACTGTGGCAGTGAATTCCTGAGGGAGCTGAAACAGAGAGGGTTAACTCGTTCTTAACGAGTGTTATTTCCCTCTTGGAAAAATGGTTAGACTAGGATGCCAGTCAGCAGTGAGTTGGAGGACAGTGCCAGAAGCACAAAGCCCTGGTGGCTGTACTGCTGGGTCATGTTAGAATGACAGAATGGTTTGGGTTGGAAGGGATCTTGAAAGACCACCTAGTTCCAACCCTCCTGCCATGGGCAGGGACACCTTCAACTAGACCAAGTTGCTCAGAGCCCCGTCCAACTGTGAATGCCCCGAAGTTATGCTTACTCCAGAGAAAGCCCTGTTAATTATGATGGTGTCTGTTTACATCATCTTAAATCCTCAAAACATGGTGCTAAAACTAAGCAGCATACGATTTTTATAACTGACATCAAAGGACCTTTACTCCAAGTACAGAAGTACAGCCTCCTTGCTCGCTCAGTTGACAGCAGTGAAGAGCCAAAGAAGGCAGATTTCAGTAGACAATGCAGACTTTTTCAGCCTTGCGAGGAATAATTTTTTGCATATAGATCCTTCCTGAGTCTCACTTCTCTGTTGTACAGCTACTGCCCTAATGATGTCACTGGAGCATGTATTGGTAGCCCAGAAGTAAGAGTGGTGAGCCCAGCGTTAAGAGGGTGTGGAGCTGAACTTCAGACACAGGACTGAGGGGAGTGATGAGGACTTGAGATTTTAAGGCAGGAGGGATGAATCTTGGGAGGATTTACCAATATCTGGACTTCTCTGTTAGTGTTTTATCTGGACTTCTCTGTTAGTGTTTTATCTGTTCTTCCATTGTGATTTTGTCTCTGCTTTTTTAAGATCACCATGACAAGGCCACCGGGCCCACTGGGGGTTGGCAAGCATGTTTCATGTGCTGGATGTGGCTGCTTTGTAAGGCGTAAGCTAACGTTAGCCACTCGTGTCATTACTAAGAAGTGCTTCCAGTGTTTTACAGGTGGAGATAGAGATCCTGTTTAAGGAGTGGGGTTTAATTTGGTGAGCTTTGAGATCTTCTGTGAAGTCAGTGTTTGCTTACAGTTTTTTCTCCAAACTTGCCTCTTTTATAGTCATACCAAAGTACTGCAAAATAAACAATGGTGACTGTGAGCAGTTCTGCAGCATCAAAAAAAGTGTGCAGAAGGATGTTTTGTGTTCCTGTGCCAAAGGGTATGTTCTAGCAGAGGATGGGAAGCGCTGTGTTTCATCAGGTATGAAGTTGCATAATTAATAGCAGTGGTGGTGAGACTTGTTTCACAGTTAAAGAAGGTCTTTTGAACCAACGGGAGAGTACATGACGTAGATTTAAGTGGTGGACTTACCAAAAGCTAGCTGATTTGGAACTCTTTGCAAGGTGCCTCTCACAGAATTACCTGAGTAAACTCTGCTGTTGACAGGAGAAAAGTGATTGCAGTTCTCTCTCATTTACTTAAACACTTACACTCCATATAATACAGCATCTCACAAAAACTTTTCTACTTTACATGTCAGTTCAGCTAATCAAATAGTAATTGATGATATTAAGTAATTATAATCAATGCTATTTACATTTGTACATTTCTGATGGTTTTCAACAAACCTGGTTGTTTGTTGAAAACATAAGTCAACCATACACTCAGGATGTCGGGTTTTCTATCCTTTATAACTAATAATAAATTGCTGTCATGAGCCATATTATTCCTAAAATAAAACACTTCACTTGGTTTCCTAATTAAGATGATTTTAAGTAAGAGCAAGTGCATGAATATAGCAACATAAAAGAGCGAGTACATGGGTACAGCAATACAAACAAGTGAAGATGATGCTTTAAATATTAAATACTTTGAAAACACTCTCTGGAGACTGAACCTATGGACAAATTTTAGGACTACAAAATGGCTTTCATTTTCCAAACCATCTGGTCTTCCTTCTTTGTTGCATCTGCCAAGGTTTTGCTGCTGTTTCGAAAACAGGACAGCTGCATGAACTGATTTGTTGTGAGATGGTGTTGTCAAGGAGTTTCCCCTTGTTCTGGTGTTTCTTCCCCTCTCTAATTTTAACATTCTTGTCTCTACAGTAAAGTATCCTTGCGGAAAAGTTTTTGTGAAAAGAAGAAAAAGGTCGATTATTCTACCTGTGGATAATAGCAATGTAACTAGTGATCAGGATGTCCCTCCCACAAATGGAACGGTTTTGGAGGAGGACTTTGTTACTACCACAGAAAGCCCAACTGTCCGTCCTGGCAATGGGACAAGTAGCAAGACTCCGTATGTCAATACCAGGATAGTAGGTGGTGATGAGTGTCTTCTTGGAGAGTGTCCATGGCAAGTAAGTCTGGTGTTTGTGCCCTGCACATCAGCGGAACATGTTTCTGAGGGCAAGTGTGCGATGGTTCATTTAACCTGGTTGCCTTCTGAATGCTCCCCATGTAGTATGTCATTTGTAACTGGAGGTAGCGGAATTGAATGGAGGAGCTGAATGGAACAGGTTGCCCAGAGAAGCTGTGGATGCCCCATCCCTGGAAGTGTTCAAGGCCAGGCTGGATGAGGCTCTGAGCAACCTGGTCTAGTGGAAGTTGTCCCTGCCCACGGCAGGGGGGTTGGAACTAGATGGTCTTTAAGGTCCCTTCCAACCCAAACCATTCTGTGATTCTATGATTTTATGAATTGTGTGAACCCAGGCACTTAGATGTGCACTTCTGCAAACTGCAGCCTTAAGATGTCAAAATGAAAGGCTTTGTGCATTGCTACATGGTGCTGCTTAACCTGTCGCCACAGAGAGCTTTTGAGTCAGAATCACAGAATGGTTTGGGTTGGAAGGGACCTCTAAAGGCCATCTAGTTCCAATGCTCCTTCCATGGGCAGGAACATCTTCAACTTGATCAGGTTGCTCAAAGCCCTGTCCAACCTGACCTGGAATGTTTCCAGGGATGGGAGATCTACTACTACCTCCCTGGGCAACTGGTTCCAGTGCTTCACCACCCTCATCATAAAGAATGTTTTCCTTATATCTCATCTTTTCTGCCCCACACTGAACAACTCCACCTGCCTCAGCCTTTCTTCATAGGAGAGGTGCTCCAGTCCTCTGATAATTTTTGTGGCACTCCTCTGGACCCACTCCAACAGGTCCATGTCTTTCCTCTTCTGAGGGTCCCACAGCTGGACGCAGCACTCCAGGTGGGGTCTCACCAGAGCAGAGTACAGGGGCAGAATCCCCTCCCCCGATCT